GAGATCAAATTAGTCCATACATCTTTGATAGTACTAACTATACCACAAATCTTAGCAGCAAGAGACAAGAGTGTATTTTCTTTTCTTTTGGCATCTCGAAGATTTTTGGATATGCTTCAGTTTTTTTTTTTTTTTTTTTTTTTTTAAGGATATTTTTTTATTTTTTTGACAGGATAGTGTTATAATATCCTACTTTTTTACATGTCCAAAAATTTTGGAGAATCCATCCCTTTTTAAGCTTTTAATGGCTATTCCTACCAACAATAAATAAAATTTACAGGTTCGGCTAAGGCGAGAATTTCCGGTTTAAAAAAAAAACCCAAGAGTTGTGAGGTCCTCTCCCATAATTTCCTATTAATTTGGCTTGGCTTGGCCTACATTATTTTATGAACTAGCTTGCGGAGTTTATTTTAAACTGTATGAATATGAACCAGTCTAGATACTCTTGTGTTAAATTGTATGCTCTTCATGCTATTTTAATCAAATGAATGTACCTTAGATTTGTAGATGTTTTCGAGGTACATCTACAATAGAGCATAGAAACATTTTAAAAAATGATACAAATGGCATACAATCTTCTATATACAAGAAAAAAACAACAAAGTTAATGGATGAAATTTATACCTCCTTGAACGCCCTCTCACTAATCTACCAAAGAAAAGCAATGCTCTGTATTCTCTCTTTTCCCCCTTTTCTTTTCCTTGCAATTTGTGCAAAATTTAGACAAGCAAAATTAAACTACCTAAAACTTTTGAGACGTTCAAATTTTCACTGGGAATGGAAGAATTTGAGGCCCTCGAAAATCATCATTTCCCACGGAATAGGCTTATAAAGTCATTGAAACTTTATCCTGCACAAAGAAAGAAATTTCCAACATTGGAAATTATGGTATGGTGTCAAAACATAACAGGAAACTATAGAGAAATAATAAAGGAAAGGGTATTCGCAAGATCACCCCCAAAAAAATACTCCTTTTCCCCTTTGTTCCTTCTAAACTAACGAGGTTCCACATTTGTTATGGACCCTGCCATTGTACCGAAACTGCAAAGTTATCATAAAGTTATAATTTTATATTCTAACAACGCTAAAAAGGAAAAAAAGAAGAGATTACGGTGAGATGCGCAAGGACAGCACAACAAAAATCAAATTGATACAGTGGTAAATCATAGTTCAGATGCTTTCAAATCCTAATCTTAAATTCTCTATGTAATCATCAAATTGATACAGTGGTAAATCATAGATCAGATGCTTTCAAATCCTAACCTTAAATTCTCTATGTAATCACCCCCCTCAGACATTTAATTAAATGAATTTCAGACTACTATAAATCTATGCCTTTTCGAATTAGCTACCAAGTTCTTGACTTCTCATGCACATCTAAATTATCATGTAAAGCAGGGCTTAAGCATGAAGAAAAGGGTACATAATGTCCATGACGCAGCAGTAAGAGAGCATTCCATTCACATCACTCTGAACCATTTTTACCATACTTGGACGACTATTGTGAACTATAGTTAGCTCAGATGCCACATATCTATATTGCTCAAACATGAATTTTTTTCTATTTTCAGGTGTACATGAAGGAAAGGTTTTATCATTTTAATGGAAAAGAAAAAAGAAAAAAAATCACCAATCACTGCATTCAGTCGATGACGCCACATCAATTGCTCGAAGAAAACTTTATGATCAACAAGACTTCACCCACTATCATCAATCCATGTCAATGGTGTAAAGCGTAATGCCTATAATTGAAATCTTATGCCAGCTATGATCACACCTCTAGGTCGCAAATAAAGGGTTAGGCTACACTTCTGCTAATATAAATCTCAATCAAAAACATAAACTTGCAAAATAGAACAATAAAAAGCTTTTTAATAAAGGCAAAGGAAATGCGGAAAAGGTGCAAGAGTTATCATTCCTGTTTCTCTGTCTGGTCTTTTGTCTTTTAAGTTTCTTTCAGAGAATAAATTAAAGAGGGAAAATCCCTCTAACCAGTTTTCCATTTGATTATGCTCAAATGTTTAGACCGAAACAGTTGTACATGTTGATATGCCCAAAATTTGCTAAAGTGAATAACTATTTTCAGTATTGACTTCTTTGCATGTCAAATGGTGTCAACAATCAACTTGCTAAGATTGATTAGGCATTGATTTCATAGTTCAGATGCTTTTAACTACCCTAAAAAGGATCTCCAAAGGTCATCACTGAAGTAAGATTTAGATAAAACTTCAAATGAGAAGTATTCTATCACATTGAACTGTTATTATCAACCTTCAACCTGCAAGACATAACCATCAACTGCTTAACTTCTCACGCACATCTATGTGGTGCCTTAATCATCACAATGTTATGTTGATATATACGGAAATGGAGTAGGAGTACAGGTTTCTCCCGTTTCAAGCCCAAAATGAATCTCCCACCGAAATAACTGGATCACTAAGGAAGCAACATAAATTTCACAGGTTTGAACCCCTTAAAAATTTTCCAGTTCAATATGCCAAAAGAAATTAAAATCCTCTACTTGATTTTTCTCGGAATAGATTTTCTAGCTACCTTAGAATTATACAGGTTGAAGCCACCCCTTTCTTGTCTCTCATAATAAACACTGTACCAGAATTACAACATCAAAGGTATTTCAAGGAAAAATTATCTAGTCTTGGTTGTCAGTTATACATCACGCACTGGTCCCAATACATGGCTTACTATTGTCAGTTATACATCATGCTATGGTCCCAATACATGGATTTAAGTAAAGCCATCAGACTGGTTGTGATTAATTTTAACAATTTTGACTACAACACCTAACAAATAGCAAACAAAATCTGAACCTGACTGACCAAATTACCCACTAATTCGAGATTTTCTCATAGTGTGAATCGGCCAACTGACTAGGAAAAGAAAAGAGCAAGTTATATGGCTAGTTGATTACATGCGCACATACATACATATACATATACATGAGTACATATGAAAATAGATATAGGCATGCATGAATAATAAAATTACATGCATACAACATGTATACTCACAGGACCATACATATATGCATGTAGATACTATGTTCAAAGGTACCTACATGCATATACTCATGCTCCCAATACATGTATTTAAGTAGGCCATCAGAATGGTTTATGATTAATTTACACAATTTGAACCACAACACCTAACAAATAGCAAAGTTCCAACCTGCCGGGCTAACTGCTAACTCGAGATATTCTCATATCAAGAATAAGCCAACTAAATGGGAAAGGAAAAGAACAAGCTATATGAATATGTACATGTACAACATACATACATATGGATGCATGCATAAGTACATATGTATATAGATATATGCACGCATGCATAAAAAAATGCATCCATACAAACATGTACTCAGATACATAAACACATACATATAAACAAATGCATATAAACACATGCATATGCATACATTCATAGATACATACACAAGTATGCTCATAAATACATACATAAATATGCTCATAAATTTTATCTCAAAAAAAAAAGTATGCTCATAAATACATAACTTTCATAGACACATGGACATATATAGACATAAAAAGATACATGCATAAGGATATACATGCATTCAGAATCTTATAGGATCCAGAAATAATTCTTTGGATGATCAGGAGTAATCTTCTCAACAATTCACAATAATCTGATTAACGAATTTTAACCATTCTCTGTCTTTTTTTTTTAGCTGTTGCATATGTTGCTTTAATATTGAATTGAGCAGTGAACCAAATGGGAAGAACACTTGAAGTTCAAGAGATTGCAATTCACTCTATCTGAAGTTTCCCTCTCATGCTCTCTATATCCTAGGGATAATGACATGAAGCTAGAAGCACATCACTTTGCTTGAAAAGATGCTCATGGTCCTTTTTTAATACTATCATTGCTTTCATGTGGGAAAGCATTGTCAGCCACTAGAAAGAAACTTACCACTAAAATTTTCTCGTAATCTTCTCCATAATTTTCTTTCAACAACCGAAAGTAATCTCTCCCCTCTTTCTTCTCTATTTCCAGGCAATCATCCCAGCCTACAAAAATGTTAAATTTAATCCGAGGATAAATATGAAAATATATGCAACTCAAGGTTAAACCCACAACAAGTATTAAGTAAGCAACGTAATAAGCAAAAAAGAAGGAATAATGACACAAATAACAGCAAAATCTTCAACCAAGAACTTACTATATATATCAGCCACTTCGTGTTCATGTTGGTGATAGTTAGTCTATTACTGGAGGAAAATATAAGTTTCAAGAAATAATTAGAAAATTATTAAAAACAAGGGAAGACTAAAATATGGTTGATAAACAACCTCAACATGGTACTCCTAATTAATGAAAGAAATGAATGAGAGACTTACTGAAGGTAGGGAGAACCAGATAAAATTAAGAATTATTGAAAGCTACTTAAACGATGGATTATTCTTCTTTTAGACTTAATATTTAATAAATGAAACCTAAAAAAATAACAAAATGCTGATTCCTGAAACAAAGCTCTATAGGAGGGTCTAAAACAGAATTATGGCTCTCTTAATTTCATTAGCATGTCTTTAGAACTACGCAGCTGATATAAAGCACATGGCATTAACTTTTAGTAAGAAAAAGGGTAAATTATCTTCAAATATTTGAAGAAAAGTAAAGACTCCTAAGAGATGCATATGGGGGAAAAGACACAGCAGTTTGAAAGTTTTCTTTTTCTGTTTTAAGTTCAAAGTACACTTAGGGGAATGTTTTCCTCTCTTATTTATAAGCAAGACTTTGATATGAAACAAACATATCAAAGTCGACACATCAAAAATAACAGCAGAAGCTAAAGTGATCAATTTATGGACTTCCGTGCACGTCTCAGCATCTCAGCAAACAACTCTATCAAAAGAGTAAGGTTGCATATTGCAATCAGATTCTGAATCCTTTCTGCCTACAAGGCAAACAGTTTCAGTAATCCCTTCCTGAAGATTTATATATATGAATGATGGTGCAATAATCAGAAACTATAATTAAAAAGCTTCCGAGTTGTCTGGCGCATCTAAACAATCAACTTAAAATAGAAATGCCAATATATTGATGCGTCTCCAGTTAGAGTTTAGATGTTCTCAAATTCTTAAAAGGACCTCCAGTCATCCCCTATATAAATATTTCACCACATGAGAGAGGTGATGCAGTAAACCCTCAAATGGATCCTACACACAATCCTGATGCATGGGTATGGATCACTAATCTCCCTCCAGTTACTCAATGGGAAAGAGAGTCCATATCTCTTTGCATCTGGACCTCACAATCAGCACAAGGATCCTTAAATCTATCAACAGTTAAAATCTTTCAAAACCCAAATCATTATGGAACCTTCTCCATAACCATAGATGCCAACATATCCATCACTCTTTGGACATCTAAGTCTCTTCCTATTGAAAACAAAGGTCATCAAGCTTTCAGCGAAAAAACCATTCTTCACCTATTCTTTGATATAGTCGCCGGAGTCCTCAGGTACGGGCCCAATAAAAGGTCATCCTATAGGATGCCCCCAGTTCCAATTGATGAAGAATTCCCATCAATTTTCAATTTGGCATTCCTCACTCTAACGCTCCTAGTTTGCATCTATGAAGCTCCTCAAGACCTACTTTGTGAATGTGTAGACACATTAAGGCTTCATTTGATCACCTCAAGTGCGAGGCAAGCAACAAAGTTACTTGTACGAATCTTCGGGTCCAACCTCGAAGAGCAATGGATGAGGTCGGTGAATCTTGCCATCACTAATTTGATGGTAGAGCGTGAGGCTTCAAATCACTCATTTAGATCACCCTCTCCTTTATTTTCATATGCCTTTTCAGCAATCAAACTGTGGAAAGCACAGGTTTATTGTCCAATTATAGCCATCAATGTTGAAGATCCAAGTGCTACAACTCATGATGAGCGCTTGCTCTTCTCTCTGAACTACCAACAGCTTGAAGCCAGTGTCCAGTTTTCTTATAAAGTCATCTTCCAAGAAAATTGGATTGATATAGTGGTGAAGGTGGACAACATAAGGTTAGTGAAAGTATGCCATTTCTTTTTTGGGTTAATTGAGAATGGACGTCTTATACTGTCGTCAAATTGAACTTACTGCCCCTGTAGTTCTATTGTGAAAAAAATTTGATCCTTTTCACGAGGTCTATCCGCAACGATAGATTTTCACTCAAAGGGTCTATCTGTAAGACTGTAACAATAGATTTTTTTTGGGGGAATCTGTTTGCAACAATAGAACTAGAAGAATAGTAAGTTTAATCTGGCAATAGTACATGGGGCCTATCCACAATTAACCCTTATTTTTAAAGTTCTAGAAACCAGAACTGAAAATTCTCATTATTGACAGGTGCAATGTTAGCTCTCTAGTGTCTGATGCCCTAATGTCTACACGAGGATATGGGACTAAGGAAAAATTCTTCCCATCTCGAATATCTTTGCAACTCACTCCAACAATTCAAACAGATGTATTGTCAGTTTCAGTAGGCAAATCTTCTGATAATCCTACTCAAGAAATAGGCCTTGAGAAAGGCATTGAAAGCTCGTTTGATCCCCGGAATCTAAAAGTATCAGCCTCAGAATCCGTGACTATGTCCATGAAACTATGGAAATTTGAACAGTCTGTTTATGGAAACAGCGTTATCTTCAATTGGTTTCTTCATGATGGTGTGAATGGAAGGGAGGTATTTTCTTCCAAGCCTTCAAAATGTGCAATCTTTCAACGAAGGTCATGGTTTAGAAATAGGTATTCAAGTGTTTATAGGCCTTTCACAAAACAAGGTGGTGTCGTTTTTGCAGAAGATGAATATGGGAAAAGTGTTTGGTGGAAGGTGAATGGAGAAGCTGCAGAGAAAATTATGGAGTGGGAAATCAGGGGACGGATATGGTTAACTTACTGGCCTAATAAACATATAACTTTTCATAATGAAACTAGAATGTTAGAGTTCAGGCAATTGGTTCATATTCCTCTTGCAAAAGTTGCATAAAAATCAATATCGTGGCACCATTAGCATGAAAGCTAAAGCTGCAACACAATAAAAACATATATAGTTGTGGTACCTGAATATGAAATAAAGTCCTATCCTTGAAGAACCTTGTGTCTCAGATATTGTATCTTGTATAATGCACTGTACCAAAAGATGAAAAAGGTTACAGAGTGTTTGGAAGGATACACATTACATATAAGATTAATTACATGCCATGTTAAATATTTGATCAAGTGCATCGAGTAAATGGTACGTGTATCATCAACAAAGGCAACATCATCATGTTTCTGCAAGTCATGCAGGGACAAAGGGAGTGATATACAAGAAAGAAAAGTAGAAGTCAAGAGTATATTCATTACATTCAGTACAGATAATGTAGAGATGTGAACTTAGAGAAATATGTACATTGCTTATTCTCACTATTGAATTTATCAAAGTCTCAGAGGAACAATTATTTAACAAAATCAATATGTATATATGGCATAATTAGAGAATAATCTATTACCAAGCTATCAAATATATAGGAACCTGCAAGATCGGTACACAGAATGATAACATTTGCATGAGATGCAACATTAAGAAATGACAAGTTTACACGCGCCAGCTAACAAGAATGACAGTAACTGGGGGAGGGAGGGAGAAACACATAAAAGCATCCCTTAGGAACTCTCTGGCCAAAATATTTGAAATCAAAGATGACAATAGAACCTATATTAATGCAGTGAATGATGCTTTCATTGAACAAACATATAAAGGACATGACAAGTTTGTATCAACTACTTCAAGGATGAGAAAATTGGAAATACAACAATAACAACAGTTTCACCATTGATAGAACAGAAATTAAATCAAATGATACATCGATGCTGTTAAAAAAATTTGGCTAATATTTTTAGTAGAATTTCGTGGAAAATAATGAGGTTGAGGAAGGTATTTTCCTCAAACTGACTGTACAAAACAGGTACATACTCAGATTCCTTCCTCTTCAAAGGAGCCATTAAAGTAGGAAAAGAAAGGTGCTGATATACGAGAAGAATACAACAATTAGACAATTATATTTATAAAGAATACCCAAAGCAGTCCAAATATTTGGATAAGTATTTGGACATGATATGAGATGAATCTGAAATCATATTCATTTATTCTGAAAATGAAGTTGAATACAAGATATGCATGAGATCCTTCTTATGTTAAGCCTCTAACAACTGAGGATACATAGGATGTTTGAATCAAGTTCTACTAAGAAAACATCATGATGTATCTTTTCTGTATCCCAACACAGCAAACAGACTGGCACTAAAGAACTGTATAATGCTTTTGGATATTATTCAGACCCCAGAAAAAGTTGCTAAAGTGAAAATCCTAGAAAGTAGAACCATTCCATCCAACATTTGAACCCTGCAAAAATGATAGGAGAACCGTCAGGAACAATAGACAAGCATGATTAACAACTGGAAAAATATGAGTTAGGCAAGTTAGACAAAATATCAAAAAGATATTAGAAAACGTTCCAAATGAAGACCATTACATGTACATGATGTATTTGACAGTATAAAGCATGCAAAATTGCAAACACTGATCATACTCAAGTACTATGGACTAATCATCAGTAGAAGAGGAGATCACTTGCCTCTGTATCATTGAACTTGAGATAGAAGCGAGATTTTGGAACTGACAACTTAGTTTCCATAATAGAAGCAATTTCAGCACTCAATTTCTTGTTGATATCAGGATTCAATCCACCAATGGAAGTAAGTTCACCATATGCTGCTGGGTGTTCTTTACCCGCAAAAGATATTGGCACTGATCCATTAAGCAATATCATCACGTACTGTACAATAAGAGAAAGAATTCAGCTCATCTACATTGTCACGGGAATGGATTAGGCAAAAACCAAATGACTACAATCGTGTAAATCGACTCAGTTATAAACCAATTGCTACACCATATTATCTATTGAACTGACGCAGCAGAGCAAAAAGTTTAAACAAGGAATTAAAGATAAATTATATCAACTCACATCAGAATGCATCTAGGCTTATAATCTTCTCAAGAAACATAAACAGAAAATAGACGCATAAATGCAGAAAGAAAACTAGCACATGTTGAGCTTATCAAAAACTAGAAATTGGCATCCGAAACTAATAAATGGGTTACAATAATAAATAGAGGCGCAGAGTGCAGGAAAATCCTTCAGAGACAAAATTAAAGACCAATCAAGAAATGTGTTGAAGGATATGATGTGAAATAAATTGTTGATTGCATACGATCACGCCATGTAATTTACTAAACATTAAACTATGTTAGGGAACTTCATATCTTAGTTTCAATTTCTCTAAAATTTTGCAAGGACAAAAACTAAACATGCAGTAGAGACTATCATATTCTCAAACTATAATTGCTCACCCAGCACAAAAATCATTGTCTAATCCTCTACAAAAAGAACCATTAGAATAGGCATTATCAACCGACTACAGAGAAAAGTTAAACAAGGTCTCTCCTTTCACACCAAAATCAAATAAACACATCAAACAACTCATAACCCATAACGGAATTCGCAAAACATGAATAAAAAAACATAAAATTAATCAGAGAAAAGAGAGAGAAACCCACAGCTTCGGGCTTCCCAATGATCTTTGCAACTGTTTGCGTGGCCTCAGAGAGAATTGACGAGGTGCCGACTCCATCAAGACTAACATTTGTGAAGAGATTGAGGCAAGGCATCTCTCTTTAAAATTTTGATTGAATCTCTCAGTATTGAGAAAATGTCTGAAGCCCTAGTTGATTTTTTTTTTTTTTTTGTTCTATTTATGGAACTAATGCTCCCAATTTTTGCCATTGTTCTACAATTGCCTCGAGGATTGGAGGACTGCAGTCTTTAAGAATGAGGTTGAATCAAAAGGGAAAGAATGAGAAAAGCGGAATTTTTGCAGTGAAGGGGGATTTTTGGAGTAAAGCTCAAAATCAAAACTGTACCTTTTTCTCGATGAAGGAAAAAGAAGGGGAAGTGTTTGTTAAAGTTTGGAGTGTTCCGAGAAAAAAAAACAAACAAAAAAGTCTTGATGTTGCAGTTTTCTTTCAATTTTCTTGATTTTTTTTAAGCGTGGATAATTTCAATTGGCTTCTAAAAGTTGAGTGTAATTACCATATAATTTCCCTACGATGAGAATGTTAACCACAAATTAATCACATTTTCTTACTTTTATGTTCCAGTCAAGCTTTTCATTAGTCACGTCTAACTTTTCACATCTCCATAAAATGAGAATCGTATTTGTTAATTAGGATTGGTCACCATCTCTTAGGAAAATCTTTGTATCATCTTGGCCAACTTCAATAGAAGAATTATAGAATTCTTAGGCTTGAATGCAACCAGCTATTAGTAGAGAAAGCAAATGAGAATGCATTGTGCTTACAATTTTTTGGCTCCTTTAGAAAGAATGCAATGAGCATACTTTTAACTCAAAGAGCTAAATGAAAAAATATATATATACTAAGGGGCTGTTTGGAAAGAGGTTTTTTAGGGGGAAAGGAGCGGAAAGCCTACCAAAACCCTACCAAAAGTATAGCTTTTGGCAGGCTTTCCACCCAAATCGTCTGCACTTTTGGCAGGCTTTTCCCCTATCCCTAATGGTGTGTTTGGGAGTTTACTTAGGAAAGGGAAGGAAGGGAAAGGAAGGGAAAAAATTCCCCTTCCTTCCCTTCCCCTCCATTACATCCCAATTTGGGGGTGTAAGAATTTGGGCCAAATTTCCCCTCCATTCCCCTCCTCTACCCTCCTAAATGAAACTCCCAAACAAGGTGAAAATGAAATTTCCCTTCCCTTCCCCCTCTCTACCCTCCATCCAAACAGGCCATAAGAGTATTTTCCGTTCTGAAAGTTGTAATTATTTAGATATACAGTCATACACATCAGAGTATCAATTGTACTTTATAATTCCTGTGGGCTACGATTGGATGGGTAATGTGCACCATTGGATCGCTAGATCATCTATCGTTGCGTAAGAGCATATCACATGAAGCAAATTTTTAGTTTATTATTATTTTTTCCGTCCCCCGAGACTCTATTATTTTTTTTTCCATCCCCCAAATAGCTTATTTTTTACTTCAATAAAGTTAATTTAGGCTCAGGCCTTTTCTTAGGAAAAACACACAATCTTACTTGTGTGCTCTGGTATGTTTAATAGAATAAACGAATGAGATTTTTTTTTAAACAAATAGTGAGAATGCTAAACTGTCATCGTCTTGATTTTTCTTTTTCTTTTTCTTTTTTCCCCTTTTCCTCCTCCTCCTTCTCTTTTTTGTTTTTTGTTTTATGTTTTTTTTTTTGTTTTTTTTTGGTTGGTTGGTTTGTTTTGTTTCGTTTTGTTGTGAAAGGAGAGAGAGCCTGATATTTATTGGTAGAAGCTAAACTATCATACTCGCTGGTCTATAAATTATTTTAGTTAATTCAGGAAATGAAAAACTACTTTTTAGAACCCATACATACATTCAACCTTTGGCGTTGCCTTCAGTTGCGTAGAGGATTAGGGAACTGCACTCTTTAAGAATGAGATTGAACAAATGGAAAAAAAGAATAATAAAGATGACAAGGAGAAATTTTAGGGGCTTGCTCGAAGAGTATCGAATTTTAGGGGTTTTTTCGAATATAATAATTTCACAATGGGCAGAAAATTCTTCGACAAATGTGACCACTTCTATCACGAGAATGTCCGTACGTAGTAGTGTCTTGTGATTATTCCTCTTTTTTTAATATCAATTTTTAGTATTTAAGATGTACTTGCTTTACACTTTAAACATTTCATTTCTAACCTCAGAAAATAGTTAAAACCAATCATTTATAGACTGCAATTTACTTTTTCTCTATTTTCGTTTCATTATTTATTTTATACACTTCAGGTTGCACGTATAAATTTTACTTGCATGTTGCGTGTATATACAGAAATAAGAAAGCCTTCAATCATATTAATTAATAGGTATCAAGCAAAATATACATATATTCTACATTAATAAATGGTGTATAATTAAAACTAAATCCACTAAAATCAATATTTATTCTCTTTGATTTTGTTTCGCAATGTTAGTTGTCCCATGCATGTGCATGAGTTTTACTTCTTTATAAATAGCATATTGCCTTCATTATTTCTTACGTTACACTTTGGCACCTATTTATACAAAACCTGGATTACAAGTCATATAATTTATTGTAGTAGTTAAGTTTGAAATGAATGATACTACCATTAATATAAATAACCAAATTTGATTTAAAATTGGTAACTATCTACTATCAAATTTTAAATATTTAAATCAAATTTGGTTATTTATATTGTAGATAGTTACCAATTTTAAATCAAAATTTGGTTATTTATTGTAGCAGTTAAATTTGAAATGAATGATACTCAGCATAAAGTTTCCATTCTTTCCAAGTAAATTAATATTCCTTTTTTTGATCGAAGGAAACTTCTTGCACATGCCACCTTCGTTTGAATTCTTAATTTCCTTACAAGGTCTAATTTCATGCTTCCAATCTTCACCAATACTTTTCATTTAGATAAAACTGCAACTATATATTCTCTATTTCCAATAAAAACCCTGAGCCTAGAAATGCAATCTCATTTCCTTCTCTTCCTCTTATTTCTCGAACTTGCCATCGCCTCAAATTTCACAGCTACGTTTTTCTTTGGTGACTCAACCCTCGACACCGGCAACAACAACTTCATTCCGACTCCTTTTAGGAGCAACCACAGACCGTACGGTCTAACTTTCCTGAACCGGGCCCCGGACGCGTTCCCGACGGCCAGCTGGTCCTGACCTCTGACGCGTTCCTTAAACATCAAGCCACTGTCACCCCCGACCTGCGCCCTGACCTGCCGACCGACAGAGCTCGCGACGGGCGCGTCAGCTTCGCGTCGGCCGGCTCGGGTACGAACGACCTGACGTCGGTCGTCCCGAACACGCGCGGATGTCGAGGCAGCTGGAGATGTTCGGGGAGTACCTGGGGAGGCTGGAGGGGTTGGTGGGGGAGGAGGAGAGGAGGAGGATCGTGGAGGGGGGGTTGGTGATGTTAGCGCCGGGGCGATGATGTCATATTTAACTTCTATGATTTGGGTATGAGGAGGCCAGGGTATGATATGAGCGGGTATCAGGATTTTTTGCATGTGATCTTGAAGGATGCGGTTAAGGTAAGTATATGTCGCTCTTTGTTCACACATGCATGCTTTGTTAGTTTCTGCGATATTCATGGGGGGAACTCATACAATGCTACATCATATCATACTCCCTCTAGAGCACGAGTTTGTAAAAATCTTTCTACGGTCAATATTATTCTTCACTATTTTAAGTATTTCATTCATATTTTAATCTGTCCTAATCATAATTATATCATATTTTAATATATACCACGTGAACTATCTATAGCTGAACAATTTTAAAAAATAATATTAATAAAATATATATTACATCTTTATGATATTAGTTTGTTAAGATGAAGAAATTAAACATAGCTAACATACTATTATAATACATAAAGTATTGCAAAAAAACTTTAAAAATTTTAAAATTGCACAAAATACCCTGAGAAGTTTACGAAAAATTTAAAATTTGTGGTTAACATCTCAATATCTCAAAAATTATAGAAAGACCCTCAAGAGTTCAAATTACAAACAAACACATGAAAATTTAAAATTTTAAAACTTGTAAACAAATAGATGAATTTAAGGGATTTTCATAATGCACCTAAAAATTTCTGACATTTTAAAACTTAAAACAATAAATATGAAATCAAGAAATTAACATCAGCCTCTTAAGAATTTAAAATTTTTAGTTAACACCCTTAATGTCCCAAAAATTATAGAAACACCCTCAAAAGTTTAAAATATAAAAAATAACCCTAAAATTCTAAAAAAATTAAAATTTGCAAATAACAAAATATGAATTCGAAAAATTACCCTCATGCACCTAAAGATTTAAAATTTGTTGAAATTAACCTCAAAGGTACAAAAGTTATGGAGAAATCTATTTCAAAATTTAAAATCGAATAAAACTCTAAATTTTTAAAATTTATAACCAGTACACATAAAATCTAAAAACTATTAGTAGACCAGTAAAATTTAAAATTTTGAAAAATTAATTTATATCTTTAACAATTACAAAAAACAGCCTCAAAATTTCAAAATTGTAAGAAATATCGTGACATTTAAAAATTACCATCGACATATGAAACATAGAAGTTACAACTACCAAACTTAAAAGTAATTTTTTTAAAATGCTCCCAAAGTTTTAAAAATTATAAATCACACCCTCAAAGTTTAAAATCACAAAAAGGGCTAAAATTTTAAAACTTGGCAAAGAAAAGTGTAATTGTTAGGTATTATTTCATTAATATATATATATATATATATATATATATATATATATATACATACACTCTCTCTCTCTCTCTATATATATATATATATATATATATATATTCCAATTTAAGGTTTACTATCCTTTTTTAGCATCTAAAGATAGTCTAAGTTTATACTGGTAAACAAAAGCAATAAGAATTTATTAAAAATATCCAATTAAGGAATAAAAACTCAAAAAATATTATAGCTCAAAAATTATCGTCACCATATAAATTAAAGCAACTGCATAAAATTTTACTAATAAGTTAGAGTAGCAAAACATATTAGTAACATTAATTGTTAGATGTTTAAATCCATAAAAATAATAAAAAAAACTATAATATAATAGTTTAGTATTAATTAATTATAATTTAGAAATTTTAATCTCTGATATTAATAATATTTATAGGGTAAAAGAATACAATGAATTACGTATGGAGAAACTATCAGAATATTCAGAGATATCCTTCAAAGGAATCAAGCTATTTCCATTGTAAATGGGAAAGTGATGAAAATAAATCTAAAATTTAGAAAACATCCATGAATCATTTGAATTGGCATTAACATAAGACATGTCTATTAAAGAAGCACCAAGTGAGTTATATTGAAGAATAATTTAATAACTTTATCCCAATCAAAGAAATTTTTTTCATGGAAGATATAAGAAGAATTAGTAAGCATTTATAAATTTTATAGTTTGTTCTTCAAATACTAAAAAAGTTAAATATTAATATTATAATCTAAGAAAAATTGGTAATAAAAAATACATGTATTTAGTTTAGATCTTTGTGAAAAATAACAGGGATAGAGCAAATGTAATATTATTAACATAACAGAAACTCTTATTGGATACACATTAGAAGAATTCATTGTAGAGAAAAAAAGTGGTAGCTCCTAATCTTATTTAAGTAATAAATTAGGAATATAAAGGATTTCATATATATGAAATTCATATTTATTCTCATTAAAATAAAAACAATCAAAGTCCATATTTCAAGAAGATTGTGTTGAACATTGGAAATACATTTAACTTCTTTGTGAAGTTAAATGACAAGATAAAAGATTAACGAGCCCAGGAAAGATAACATCACAAAAATACAACTCTAGTATGATGTCACAATCGAGTAGATGATAAAGACACTACTCTAGAATTGTCCGGAAAAAAGATAATGGTGAGAAAGGATTAATCTTAGCTCAATAACAAAATAAAACAGAAGGAATAAAAGATAATATTTTCTGAATATTTTATAGAATAGTTAATTATTTTGAGTGGATTTAGGAATCTTTAAAAGAGAGTCTCATGAGCTTTTTTAATACTTTCTATATGCTTGTGCAGATGCTTTTATCATATGAAAGTGTACTAGAGTTAGCATTAATCTTTAATTTAAAATTTTTTTATGAAGTCTATCAATGATTAGGAAGAAACTTCATATTCTTTTTTGTATTGTTTTAGCATACTTTTAACTAATCATTTTGCCTTATTAATTTTAAATATTCACCTTCCTTGTATAATATTGTTTCAATATTTTTTACTTTTGCAACACTGCACTTTCTTAAGTAAAGCTTAATTTGATATCAGTCAAAATAATATAAAAATTCAGATTAGCTTCAAACTATATTTGTTTTCTATCAATTCAAATATCAACATGAAAATATAAATTGGGTGTAGCCCATTTAAACAAACATCAAAGAAAATAAATAATCACAATATTAAATTTTAGAGACAAAAGTGAGCATAAACTATTAAGGTGGAATTGAGGAAGAAGCTTTAGTTAGAAAATAAGCCAAAAATACTTAATCATGGTATTCAACCACGTGCATTGCACATGTATAAAACCTAGTTCACCAATAAAAATTCATGTGAGATTTCCCTGCGAGTTTAAAAGAACTAACAGAAGATGGGTTAACTAGATCAATATTGTGCGGTAAAAGAATAGCGGAGAAATACACACGAACACAAAGATATACGTGGTTCGGCTTGTAGCCTACGTCCACAGGCGAAGGAGGAGAAAAGCTTTACTAATTGTGAGGAATACAAAGTGGATCTCTCAAACTCTCAATTCTAAATCACACCCCAAAAGCCTAATACAACTCTCAACTAAAGGAACAAAAGAGAAGAATATCAAATAGGCTTCACAAAAGAATTCTCTCTTCTTGATTAATGCTCTGAAGATTGAAGCATCTAATTGGCTTGAAAAACTGTTCTTATATAGCCTTGAAGATCTCAACTTCTTGCTGTCTAAGGAATAAGAGAGTTCTAATAGCAATAGAATTCCACATGTCCTAAAACCCAATAAGAGTCCAAGTAGAAATAAACCTCTAACATGATTGGTTGTGCAAAGTCTAATGTAAGTAGAACTCTTGATCAAAACAAACCAAGCTAAAAAAAAAAAGAAACTCCAAAAGCAATATGGATTTGAGTATTTGAGGCAACCTATAACAGAACTAACAGAAGATAGGTCAACTAGATCAAAGTGCAGTAAAAGAATAGCGGAGAGACTACTATCTTATTAATAATCGTTGATTTATTTGGTAGATGGTTATAATTTGACTTCGAGGCTGCAAATTAGGGGTGAATGCGAGTATACTGAGTTTTAATTTAGAATAAATTATAACCATCCACTAACTAAATTAATTGTTAGTAACAAGGTAGAGGCCTGTCCACTTTTTTTTTTAAATAATAATGAAGAGGATTCGAATTCAAAAGCATAGAATATGGATCATAAAGTTACATCCCTATGACTATGAGGCGGATAGATTATAATGAAAACTACATAAATTCACCTAAATATTAAAGATTTAAAATAAAAGAAAACTAATTTCACTGAAATACATGCAGATGTATTAAAACAAAAAGGTAGATGACTCATAAAAAATGGAGGATGACATGGGTTAAGAAGGGGATAAAGGATTTTTTCTAAAAACAAATTTAAGTACCATTAATTCCAAGCTCTAAAAAAATATAATCAATCCTTATTTGGGTTGATAGCTTAGTTCAACCGGCTACCACATTTTCGCCAACCGCATTCCCAAATTAGAAACGAATGAAGACAAATAAAAATTTACTCATGAGCACGCTTAATCAAACATCACGCATTTTACTTCTCGCGTGGATATACGAGACAAAATGCTTAATTAAGCGCAGCTAATTACTAGGATATCGACCATCATCAAAATGATTAGCTGGCTAATTCAGCCCCCGCGACGAGAAGTTATGGTGAGCATCAGCTCATCCGCCCCACCTGCATAATTAATTAAGTAATTGATTAATTGATTGAACAGTTTAATTAAATGACCTCCTCCAACAAACGTGGAACCCGACCAGCCCGCCGCATTGGTCGGTAAATGGTAATACAGGCTGTTTGCAGACCCGGGCCCGTCATCGTGCGTTCATCTTTTTTTCCCAACTAACTTTGTACGTGGAAATTAAGTGAGAGAGCAATTAATTGTCTGAAATCATGATCCTTAATTACTGTGGTAAAAGACGTTTTAGAAGAAGTAAAAAAATTACAGATAAAAATGTTGTCATAGAAAATGTAGAATAATATATGTAAAAGTTCTAACACATTGTTAGTTAAAAATTTTAACTTGTATATATTATCTTACTATTTCTAGTTAATTCACTACTAGTTGAACGAATAACTTGAATTTTCTATTAGTTGTCTACATAAAAATTTTTTTTTTTTTTTTTTTTTTTTTGCATGTGATCCCAGTTAACTCACTTTATATATATTTCCTTATATATATTTTTTATGTTTAAATTTAATGAGGGATTTACCTCTCCACGACCCCTTACTTTACCGTATAGCAAAACTGTCAAAACATCACCTTTATAAAAAGAAAAATTCCTTGAGGACCCCAAATCATGAGACCCAAGGGGGTACATGTGAGGTGTCAACCCCTGGGTGCATGATCTACTGTTCATAAACAGTAGATCATGCACCCAGGGGTTGACACCTCACAAACCCCTGGGTGCATGATCTACTGTTCATAAACAGTAGATCATGCACCCAGGGGTTGACACCTCACATGTACCCCCTTGGGTTCCATGATTTAGGGTCTCTGTAAAAATAAAGATGGCATTAATTGTGCTAAACATATAAATTAATATTCATTCATACATACAAGTGGGGAATGAACATGAACCTTTCCTTAGTTTAATTTGCACAACCTACCTATCCTCAGAACCACACCTAACTTTCTTCTAATCTCTCCTAAAACTCCTAATCCTTTATTTGAAGTAATTAACACAAACTCTTTTCTACTATATCTCAACCAAAAAAAAAAAAAAACACAACCACCTCCACAAAATGTCACTCCCCTTCCCCCTCCTCCTCCTCTTCCTGCAACTCACCCACGCCTCAAACTTCACAGCCACCTTCTTCTTCGGCGACTCAACCCTCGACACCGGCAACAACAACTTCATCTCCACCTCCTTCAACGGCAACCACGCCCCCTACGGCGTCAACTTCCCCGTCAACCAAACCTGCACCGGACGCTTCTCTGACGCTCTCCTCGTCCCCGACCTCCTCACCTCCTCTCTAAATCTCACGCTCTCACCTCCTTACCTTAACCCTCAATTACCACCCGACGAGATCTTGACGGGTGTCAATTTTGCATCAGCTGGCTCGGGCTACGACGAGCTAACGTCGAACTTGTCGAGCACTCTGTCGATGTCGGGGCAGCTGAGCATGTTTCAGGAGTATCTGGGGAGGTTGAAGGAGATGGCGGGCGAGGAGGAGGGGAGGAGGATTGTGGAGGGTGCTTTGTTTGTATTTTCTGCTGGGGGTAATGATGTAATTTTCAATTACTACGTGCTGGGGATTAGGAGTGTTGAGTATGATATGAGTGGGTATCAAGATTTCTTGCATGGGATCTTGATGGATGCTCTTAAGGTAAGGATATCATCTCTTCATCCAATGTCATGTGCACGTGCGCGTGTGTTGATATGAGAACACAGATCCTTATACTAGGAGGAGATGCACTAGTTGTCGAACTCAATGATGATAAGTAGGGCTGGGCATATTCGGTTCGGGTCGGTTTTAAGCCCAATTCGCATCCAATCTGAATTTTTCGAATTCTCAAAACTCTAATTCAGATCCAGATTTTTTCCCCTTCATCCGAATATTCGGCCCAACCGAAATTCGGATCGGTTCGAATCGGATTCGGTTTTGGGCCGAATTAATTCCATTTCACAAAAATCTGCTCACACCTGCGATCATTGCCTATTAATTTCTGATGAAGTATCATTATTTGTCCATTTTGTCTACTTAATTTTTTCCTCCAAACAATGAAATGTGGAGCTTGTTTGAAGTAACACCATTGCCACAGCTGACAAAAAAACTAAAATCAGTGAAATCAAATCTCGTCAAAAATCAAATCTTTTCTTGAGTTTCTACAAGAATCTTAAGGAGAGAGAAGAGAAGAGGAGAAGAGAATTACCTTAGACTTTGATTAAAAGGGCAGAGAGAACTTGGAGAAATGTATTTTGAGAATTCGGGTTAGGGATCCTGGGATCGGCGGTGTTGTGGTGTGGGACTGTGAGAAATAGAGTTAGGGTTAGGGATTTTTTAGTATTTATATTAGAAAATTCGGTTCGGTTTTTTCGGGCGGTTCAGGGGTTCAAACCGGATCCAGACCGGTTTAATTCGGTTCGGACAGTTTAGAGTCTTCTTCTCTTCTATTTAATCCGGTTCGGTTAACCGGCCCGCTTTTTCGAGCGGTTTTTTCGGTTGAACCGGTTTTTTTGGGTTTTTGCCCACCCCTAATGATAAGATAAAGAAAAGTGTAAAAAAAAATTAAATGTCACACGGGGGGTGTTTCTTCCGGTAAAATCCACAATTCACACTTTTCTTTTAGGTTCCGTGTAACGCCCCGCCCGCTCTCTAGAAAACTTCCCAGAGGGTCACCTATCCTAGAATTTCTCTAGGCCAAGCACGCTTAACTTTGGAGTTTCTAAAAGTTGCGTTCCCGAAAAGAAGATGCATCTTGGTTGTATAAGTATTCCAATCAAATCTATCAATACTAATCACATCACCCTCTCAAGGGTTGGGGTATTACAAACTCCCCCACTTAAACTCACAACGTCCTCGTTGTGCCAAATCATATCATCCAAGACCGTACCATCCGTGTGAGATTCTAGAGGTGCCTCCTACGGCCTCAAGAGGTGACTCCCGTCCTCTCGACGTAGCACTTTGCGCCGCATAGCACTTAGCTCTCACAATTCCGGTTGGTTTGGCTCTAATACCATTTGTAAATCATATCATCCAAGACCATACCATCCGTGTGAGATTCTAGAGGTGGCTCCTACGGCCTCAAGAGGTGGCTCCCGCCCTCTCGACGTAGCACTTTGCGCCGCATAGCACTTAGCTCTCACAATTCCGGTTGGTTTGGCTCTAATACCATTTGTAACGCCCCGCCCCGGAATCCCGGAATCGGTACGCTACTAGATCTGATGGACTGGCCTCACAAACCACCACATGTCTTTTCAGCACGTTTTTGTCCTCACTCACGCGCTCCCTAGAAAACTTCCCAGGGGGTCACCCATCCTAGAATTTCTCCAGGCCAAGCATGCTTAACTTTGGAGTTTCTAAGAGTTGGGTTCCCGAAAAGAAGATGCATCTTGGTGATATGAGTATTCCAATCAAATCTATCAATACTAATCACATCACCCTCTCAAGGGTTGGGGTATTACACTCAATTTGGCAAAGGGTTAAGTAAGAGGAGTTAAAGAGAATGATTAATGTACTTAGCACATTCGATAATCTGAAGGATTAAATTATTAACCCGCTAAATAAGTTTTATTTTAGCTATCATGATCAGTTTTAGTGTTTGGGAATAACAATAATTTTGACTATTTTTTTTATAATTAGTGGGGTTAACTCTTAATCATTCTAAATATGAGTATTAGTAAATCCTTCATTTTGAGGGATTAACTCATTTTAATCCATCTAGAGGGATTAGCTTAATTCTTCTATATTTTTTATGTTTAGCAAATTATGGAGGGTTAACTCACTTTAGCCATTGTATAGATTTTTTGTGTTTGATGGGTTAAGAAGGGGTTAAGTCTCATTAACCCCCCACTTAACCCTTTGTCAAACGGTACCTTAGGGAGTTTTCTGATATATTCTATAAGTTAAAATGAGGTTTTCTGAAAACCCCTAAACTTAAAAGAGGTTTTCTGGTGTTTTGAATCCAAAGTTTTAGGGCGTGGGGAGTTATGATAGTCTTGAGAAACAGTCAAATCTGAGGTATGTATTACTGAATCCTATCTAAAAGATGTAGTTGTCATATTTATAATAAAAAAGTGTTGATGCATTTTTCATAATGGTAAATGTAGTTGCATGTTTATTATTCGATCTATTTATATTGCTTCATTGAAAAATTGATTTTTGAAAATGACTGATGATTTCTCCCTGTTCTTTTCTAATTTAATTTAATTACTGATTAATTAATAACGTTAACAATACACACTTGTCTCTTTTGATTTTAACACAATATCTTCTGAATTTTCTCTGTCAAACTTTTTACTCTGGACTGAATATTCATGAAGAATATCAAGCTGTATTAGTCAATATTTTTTATGGTTTGATTACCAATTGAAACCAGAGGTGGGTAAACCCCACATTTTTGGTAAATAACCATAACTTAATGAATGACGACAACATAGTATGTGCTCTAAGAGATTGATTAGAGAATTATATATATTATTTTATATTTTTGTTTGACCGGTAAGTAAAATGAGGTGTGATTCGTATATCAAATGTGGATCCCACATATAGCTGGATTGAGTCTGTGGTAGCTCAAGAATACTGAGGAAGCGCACAAAAAGGTTATAAATTAGTTCAACTCCACTTCTTGACAAATCCACATCACTAATAGACACATCATATATAGTTAGGACTTTAATAGCTAATTCTGTCTATATATAATTTGACGATCGATCAATTTCCTATTTATAAGTGATCCCACATCAAATTTAATTAGTAATCACATTATATTATAGATAATAATTAAAACTCGCAAAGGAGCGTATATTTCATATGCCTATTTTAGTCTACAATTCAGAGCATCCTTTATAATTCTAGATAATTCTGACTTTGACCTAAATTCTCACCCATCATGTTATGACAAATTCCCCAGGATAAGCTAATATCAATCACACGATAACACAAAAAATATTAATAACACAGAAACACAAAGATATATGTGGTTCGCCTTGTAGCCTACGTCCACGGGCGAAGGATGAGAAAAGTTTTACTAATTGTGAGGAATACAAAGTGGAATCTCCCAATCACTCGATCCTATAAATCACACCCCAAAAGCCTAATACAACTCTCAACTAAAGGAACAAAAGAGAAGAATGTCAAATAGCCTTCACAAAAGAACTCACTCTTCTTGATTGGTGCTCTGAATATTGATGTATCTAATTGGCTTGAAAGACTGTTCTTACAGCTCCTTGTTGTCTAAGAAATAAGAGTTCTAATAGGAATAGAGATCTACATGTCCTAAAACCCAACAAGAGTCTAAGTAGTAATAAACCTCTAATATGATTGGTTGTGCAAAGTCTAATGTAAGTAGGACTCTTGATCAAAACAAACCAAGCTGAAAAGGAACTCCCAAAGCAATATGGATTTGAGTATTTGAGGCAACCTATAACACATCATTTGTGAATGTATGACTAAAAAGATGGTTTTGGTCTAATGAATATTTTTGGAGTTAACTGGGTCTTAAATATAGGTCGGAAACCAAATTAATCTCAAAATATAATCTATTAGGCTTTGACCTCAACATACCGGACATAAATCTAGAAGTTTTCGTCTGCATAATATTCGACAGATGTTTTTGGAGCATTTACAGACGAATTTTTCCGTTTCAGATGGCCTTTTTTCCGCAGTAGTACTATGAGAGCTAATTATATAGTGAAGAAATTTTTCTTGCATGCAGAGTGTTTACAGTCATGGAGGTAGAAGATTCATAGTAGCTGGGCTTCCTCCCATCGGTTGCCTTCCCTTTCAGATCACCGCCAGCAAGAACGCAATTCGTCGCACATGCGTCGACCACCAAATCTCAGACACCATTGCCTACAACTCCAAGCTCAAAAAGCTCTTGCCTCAGCTTCAGGAATCTCTCCCTGGGAGCAAGATTGCTTATTTGGACATAACTGACAATGTGCTTGAGATCATCAACAATCCAAAGAAATATGGTGAGCTCCAATCACGGATAAATTTTTATTAATTAGCTTTTTTTTTTAAATTTAGTATTGAAGGTGAATTATTAATTAGTATGTTCAGTCCACACTAGTGAGTTTGTTAGTGAGCCAGCTTCAACTATACCAGGTTTAGCAATAATCCTTACTTATATCCTGATCTAAGAAATAAATATGAAATAAAACAAAACCTATCAAATTTCCTTTTCCGGATGTAAGATTTTTTTTTCTTAATTAATATTGCCCATCTCTAGGAAGTTTTACGTACATTGTCAAATTACTTAATTACTACTAAGCTCCATATATGGTTCCTTTTCTTTTAAAATTTTCAATATATCATCACTTGAGCTTATTATGTATGTGCTCAGGTTTTGAGGAGGCCAAAAGGGGATGTTGTGGATCAGGGCTCATGGAGGTAGGACCTTTGTGCAACATAATGTCTCCAGTATGCAAAAATGTGTCCTCCTTTGTATTTTTTGATGCCATTCACCCATCTGAGAGAATTTACAGGTTTGTGACGGACCACATTATGAACAATGTTATACCACAGTTGTATTGATCAGCATTATTAAACATGAATGGCTCTATAAAGCTCTTGATTATATACAATTCACACTATACCTAGCACTTGCAGAATTACATTATATATATTGTTGAAGCTGTAAATGCATTTTAAAAATTTATATATAGTTTTAGATTTTGCTGTGAACCTAGCGGAGGGATAACTCCTGTCTCTAGGGTCAGCCTGGCAACTCTTTAAATTTGGACCAAGTTTGAACCTGGACCAAATAAAGAGTGTGCTCTTTTGATTTGATTTGTAAAAACTGGATTGTTTCTGGTCCACTTTGTTTTAGTTTAATCTTGACCTATAAATTGGTCTAGTTATGAAAAGAGGGGAGCTCGTTCACAACTAAATCAGTTTTGACCTAGAACCAATTACAAAGAGAATTCATTAGTTCTATTTGCTGTGAATAGACCCCCTATAGTATTGGCCCAAGTGCAAAATACAACCCCTAGTGAACTCTTTCGAATCTCAAGAGTTAAAAAAAAAGTGTGTCTATCCTCACTAATAGAACTATAATTGGTCTATCCGTCTCCTCAAATATTTTTAATGATTATAATTAGAAAAATTCACTCAGGAGGTCTATTCACAACAAGTAAAACTATAAAGGGTCTATTTGCAACAAATAAAACTATAGGAGATCTCTTTGCAACTAGCTAATATTACAAGGGGCCCATTCGTAATTAAGCCTATATAATAAAATAAAACTAGTCTTCTATGAAGTCTAATATTCTCAATAGTGACCAAAGATGGGCCACATTGACGTCTACTGCTTACCAATGAAGACCGAGTCATGATGGCCTATGTTGGTGAGAACTCAAACCTCAGTCGATGTGAGCCTTGATGTTGTTGAAGTTTCCTAGCAAAATCTCGAATCATAAAAAAGTCAGTTGCTTGCTAAACAAAACCATTACTTTTTTGTACAAAAACTTTGTCAACTTGTGATTCTTGAGATTCACCAGCTTTGACTAACAATAACATAAGACTAACTTAAGTTAAGAGTCGAGACCAATAAAGTCACGTCCACAACAAGGAAGAATGTATAAATAGTTGATTATTAGCCTGACAGATCCGGATCCACTAGTTCTGACTTTTTACTTCAATATATACCCAAACCCGAAACAGGATCCAAACCCATTATCAGGACCAGTATTTATTTATATGCTTAACTACATTCTCTTTTGAAAGGACAACCCTTGGTTAATTAATACTTATTTATCTCAAATCCAACCTTCAAATTTCTTATTAACGAACGACTATTGATGTCCAAAATTGATCACATGTAAATCAAATGAGATCTTTTTTTGAGAATATTCTAACCGTTGCCTAATAAGATATATACATGAATAGTGGGAAAAAAAAACTATGAAAGGATCGAAAAATACAAGGTTGAGATTATATAAATCGAAAATGTGAAAAAATTTGGCATCTACAAGTGAAAACAATGCGTGGTACTTTTCTCTTCAAATTTGAAAGCTTCGTCTTTCTTGCGTGTTTCTCACATTTATGACGAAGTTCATGTTTTTTTATCAATACATCCAATGTTGTCGACCGAGGGTCTGTTTAACAATCTCTCAAAAATGAGAACATGTTTAATCTTAGTATCATTTTGAGAAGAAAATTGTTTCAAAAAGATTAGACTAGAGTTAGATCCAATTTTTTTTTCTAGGCCAGTAAAACCTCTTAAACCAGTTATACCTCTGCATTAGATCAAAAGTTTATCTTAGAACTTGGCGAACGTCACTCATGCTAATTTTGAAAAGTTTGCAAAAGAGTTCGAAATAGATTGTCACTTTTGTCCAGTTCACATTATGAGTAAGAATAAGTGGCTACCTCTTAGCTTTTAGCACTTTTTCGTACCGACTTTGTATCTACTCCTCTAGAGGCTGTTTGGTTCACCTATTTTATAGAAAAATTTTAAGAAAATACCTGACAATATAACGTTATCGTAAATAATAGATTTATGTAGATTTCTATAAATTTTATTTGGTTCTAAAAAAATTATAGAAATGTTTTCTATGTAGTAAGGAAAAGTATACTATTTTATAGAAAACAACTTCCTCCCCAAATGGGCGGAAATTATAAGAAAATTAACATTTATATTTAGATAGTAATAAAGTACGCCCATATAGCTTTTCTATTAAATTTGAAATTGCCTAGAAATTTAAAATTGCCTACATTCTTGCATGAGTTTTATTTTTCCATAAAATTTTCTTATCCAACAAAACTGTTATGTTAATTTACCATCTAGAGATAAGAACGTCGAAAGATTGACTATAAAAGCCCAAAAAGTCATGGTCCTGACAGGTTCAAGAAACTCAGAAGCCCGGACCGAGGTCAAGTCTATTGACCAGTCAAGCAGGCAAGCCCTCTCAACCAAGAGTCGTCATAACCGACTCGAAGCGCGGGACCAATCGGTCCTCCACAATTAAGACGACTCTCCGAGCAGACGTCTTAATGGCACTCTCATTCCAAAACTCACTCGGTTGTCGGTCGACAACCGAGTGATGACTCACGGATCAACCGCCTCGACTAAATGGATAAAATCCGACCAGGACCACTTCAAATGTCACTCGAAGCTACAACATTGACCAGTCCCATCAAGATATACGCTCTGACAACGATCTCCTGCACAAGCCGCCTATTCCACTCACAAGTCTTTTCCCAGAGAATTGTCATGATGCTTCTCTGTACGCAAGTGGCTTCTCCTCCAATTCCCAGCCGCCACCTGGAGAAAGAAGGACGGTCACACAGCCGACCTACCCTACACCCTGCCTACTCTGACAAACCCAGAGCACTGAGAAAACTTCTCTCCCCTGACACTGTAGGCGTCAAAAAATGCTGAAAGATATCCAAATACAGCTCAAGAGGGAATCATCCAAAAAAGGCAGAAGAACACAAGTCTTGACTGTCTCGCGGGCGAGACAGACTTTTACTGTCTCGCCCACGCGAGACAGTCTTTGCTGTCTCACCGTGCGAGACAGAATTTACTGTCTCGCACGTGAGACAGCTTTCAGATGGTCAAAACTACCTTTGCAACTGCCCTACACGTGGCCACTAACTGTTCAAGAACGTGGGAAACGTCGTGGGCGAGAATCACGTGGATAACTTCCATGTCTCGCGGGCCGAGACAGCAAACACTGTCTCGCCCGTCGAGACAGCAAAAGCTGTCTCGCGAACCTGTTTTCTGCCAACTGTTCTTGGAGGTTATAAATACCCTCCTAAGGCCATTTTTCCAGGGGGCTGATCATTGTGAGTACTTCAGAGCAATCCAGAGCAATCCAGGGCAGAGAGAGAGCAGAGGTGCTGATCTTACGGCCAATCCTTGAAATTGAGCTTTGACTTGATTTCAAGAAGAACGACTATCTTACATCGATAAGATATCGTTTCAATTTCTCACTTCGATAAACGAAGTCAGAATCATAAACCCCTCACGGTTCAATCAGAATCTGTGATTTGGTGGTCCACGAGTCAAAGCGCTCCCGGCACAGGCAAAGATCCCACGAAAGCAGTGATCCAAACAACGATCCTGCGTTTATTTTCTCAAGAGTTGTAATTTTCTTTTTGTTGTGTAAAAGAGTCTTATAAAAAGGCTGTTTTCTTTGAATTTATTGTAATCGACCGAAGATATAATGAATTCGACAACAAATTCGACTTTTGGCGAAAACAAACTGGCGACCACAGTGGGAGCCAACGGTCTCGCTGCCGAGACCGTCGTGTCGCAGCCGATCAAGATTCCAGTTGAATCCATGGTCGAATACGAATTCGACCAAACCAAGTTTGAGGAATATTTCTCATCATCCTCTTCAAGATCTTCAGTATCTCGCAAGTACAAGAGGATCTCACAATTGAGGAAGACTTACATGCCAAAGAAGGCACAAAATGAAGACTCTCGCTTGATTGTTGCTGAGAATTTCACTCGCAATACTTCTGCTCACAATGGCTCTTATCTAGTTAAAGAGTCATCAAATCAAAGCCCGCCGGCATTGACGAAAAGAGCTCGTCAGAGACAACGCCAACGCCGTGCTCGCCAATTGGCTAAGGCCTTGGAACAAACCGACGGGGTTCGTTACCACGCGGACCTAGAGTCGAGGAGACATCGAGTGGTTCAGTTGTCTCAACAACCAATCACTCGTATCTCTGCTAAAACAACGACGAAGGAATGGACTATTGTCAAAAAGACTCGTTCGACCCTTAAAGAACGCATACAAAAACATCGTGCAAACGCTACTCTTGCTCGTGCTCTCTCACAACAAAGACGAGAAAGGAGGAAGGAAACAGTGACCAAAGAACCACCGAAACTCCGCCAAGTTTGGATTCCAAAGTCTGGACTTATGCAAAATCAGCATTCGGAGCCCGTTAAGACCCCATACCCGCAAATGGGTGGTTTTAGACGTGCGACTCCCAACATAACCTTGGATCGCTCAAAGACAAAAATAAATTGTCCTGAGAATGCCAACAAGGTTTTATACCCCCAGAAGAAGACGCATTCACCAAATGATATCGTCATACCTGGGAGATCATACCAACAGACGATACGATTTTTTGGCAATCATACCGATGAATCGTATTATCAAGTTGGGGTTGTGAATAATTTTCGAAAGAGAGTTATTCGAGAGATAAACTCTCGTTGTTCCTGTGTGCGACTCGTTAAAACAGCATTATCAGAATGTGACTGTTTCAAACGAGAAGTCATCCCACGAGAAGTCTCTGTATTATCGAAACCTAAGCCGAGACATTTCCGAAAAAGAAGAGCAGCTGTCCAAAATGATGAATTCCCTGAAGTCACCATCAACGTGGCTGATAGAAGAAAGTCTAAACAGCATTCAAGTGACTCAAATCCCGACTTTTCCCCGAAAGGAAAAGTCAATCCAAGAATTGCTCAAAGGATGTCTCGACTCCAATTAGGAGCTATCAGACGCAGAGACTACAAGAGAATGCAAGAAGGAATGTCCTCGGAGGATGAATTCTCGGACACTTATTCTGCAATCGCTTCTGATGATACAATGTCTAGCACAGGACAAATCAGAGAAGTATTCACAATCACTGCTGATCA